GAGTCAACTAAAATTTTAAAATATGTTAAGTTGTTAACTATTATACCTTATAGTACTATTACGTGATTTTCAAATATAATATGTAAATTTTTTATTTCAATTTATATGTCATTGATATAATTACATATATTGAGTAATGAAGAATTAATGTCTAAATTATGTGACACCTATGAATTTTGGAATGTAAATCAAATTAGTTATATGATTTTTAAAAAATAAGCGGTGTTGACACGGGTAATATATTAATGAAGAGTTTTATATGGTTGCATTGTTTTGTTGTTCAGTAAAGTGCATTTAATAGTGAGACTCAAAACTGCTATTGCCGACTTTGGTCCCATCATTCCCTTTTTTGGATAATTAAAAATCCCCTCTTTTGCTCTCTGTTTTCTTTTCGTTGAAAAAAAACCAATAAAGCTTGTATACTAATGCTCTTATAAGCTTCTTTTTCTCATAAAAGATATTATACACCTCCCTGTTATCTCTTTATAGTACCTTGTGAGGTTACATTTTTATAATTTGGCAGTTGATCTAATGTGAAGAGGGACTTGCATGCAGCCTCAGTGTATTCATTACCTTACCACTTGTTGTTGATCTTTCGATGCGTGTTATAAAGGAATATTCTTTTAATGGAACATCTACTTTAACTTTTAGATTTAGAGATGAGAGAAGATCTAACTTTTTGTTCAATTGCAAGAGAACAATAACAATAACATAAAAGGAATCTGTTTTAATCATTTTCTACCGGATGTAGTATGATTCAGATCAACCACAAAGACAGGAATGGTGTCCCACCTTTGAAGAATCTGTTGATCGGTTACATTTTGCGGAGACTTCTGTCCTTTTGACTGCTCAGTAAAAGCTAGCAACATCTGTATACTAACAATCTCATCATCCTTCTATGCCAAAACAATCAATAAACCGGAGAAATTACGCCATTTGCATATCTAAGAAGAAGCTGAAAAGAAATTGTCTCTCATAGCCTGTTAAAAAAGTAAGGAAAACGGCAATCCTAAAGAATCACTGCAACCATGCAATAGGACGGTCTCTTTTTGATAAATACTACACAAGTGATTATACAGATAACATTCCGGAGGAAATTTGCTAATAAGAGCACAATAACGTGTAGTACAAATATATGCTACCAACATTATCAGGTTAAAATCTTGATTACAAAAGAAAATGATTTCTCAGAATTCCTCATTACATGAAATTTATCCACTTAACAATCAGCTACATTAATGGCATCCCCAAAACATCAAGACCATATTTTATTCAGATGTGCATCTGATTTTAAAATTACAAAAGTCTAACATCATCAATTATGACAAAAGTTTCTGCCTC